ACTAAACAAGTATTGCAGTCTAGGTGTGTACTTGACTTTAGATCCCTGTTAGTTCAGTTGGTAGAGTGGTGTGGGAGATACACTAAACAAGTATTGCAGTCTAGGTGTGTACTTGACTTTAGATCCCTGTTAGTTCAGTTGGTAGAGTGGTGTGGGAGATACACTAAACAAGTATTTCAGTTTAGGTGTGTACTTGACTTTAGATCCCTGTTAGTTCAGTTGGTAGAGTGGTGTGGAAGATACACTAAACAAGTATTGCAGTATAGGTGTGTACTTGACTTTAGATCCCTGTTAGTTCAGTTGGTAGAGTGGTGTGGGAGATACACTAAACAAGTATTACAGTCTAGGTGTGTACTTGTCTCTTTGTTTATCAAGATTAGAGTGCATATTATATTTGAAAATTATGGTACCTGGGTTTAGATTTTTCATATAATTTTTTATTTTATTTTAACACAAAACTGAATGTAAAGTTATTAACTTCTCTATAACAGTCAGTTTTGAATAGAAATTGACTGATGTTTTACAATACTGCTTTTACTATGTATATCCAGAAAGACCTGGAGCCGTACATTGCTGTTAGTATTGAAAAGTTGGAGCAGATCTGTCAATTGGTGAATGCAGCTTGTGCCACTTTGGAACCATGGCAAATTATCTTGATTTCTGTATTTCTCACCTTAAGTGCTGTTCATGTATGGAAGCTACTACATCCAGAAGAAGGTAATGTATTTTTGTAAACGCAGTGTTTATTAAAACACTACATATATTAAATGTGTGTATTTGTTTTTGATAAATGATAAAGAATAAACTGATATCTAAATGAACACTTTTTCAGTTTATTTTGTTTGCCATTTTGATCAGATGCCCTTTGTCAGGCAGTAAAAACAGTTATAATGGAATTAGTGTGTGATGAAGGGCATCTGATTGACACGTCGCACAAAATTAACTGAAAGTTTTCATTTAGATGTGTTAATTTATTCTTTATTATCATGTATCCAAGTTTTGTTCTAGTGTTTTGAGGAACAATGCTGTTTTGAGGAATAGTGCTCATCCATGTATATATTTTGTTTTATGTACGTCTCTACATATATATTCTAGTAAGCTATTACTATATAAATTTAACATACAAAAATAGAGAACATTTGAGACCTTTTCAGAAAGCTGATGATAATGTAACCTTATCGCCAGGGGTAACCTTTACTGTGCACGACACAAGGTCTTACATTCAAAATTTTGTTAAACTATTTTATAGTATTTGTTTGTTATACCAATTAGTATAGCATAAAATCCTAGCTAATAATCCATATTTTAATAGTATAAGTTTTAAGTTCTTAATTCTACAGGGCAATATTTAAAATATCCTGAATTTCCCCTAGTGTGACACATTTTCTATAGGCATCTTCTTTTCTTTATTTTATCCACCACTCCTCCAAAAAGTATGAGATTAAATATAAACTACTCACTATAAAATTGTCATTGCTCAGACAAACCATAATTTTTATAGCCTTCAATTTTCTTTGGTTACAGAGCTATAACATGGATAGTCAAACCCCTCCTGTCACATCCTCTTTAATGGTTTTGTTAATAGTTCTCATTTAAGTTTTATATATTACCTATAACCAATAGAAAACCAAAGTTTTGATTTATCAAATGCTGTATTGTATAACGTTGTGTTCTGAACAGATAATGGTCAATTTCATTCAGAGTACAAGCTCCATTCCTTTGGGAAAGCTAACGACTAGCTTGGATGAATTTTTAACGGCTCTTGTTGCATAGTTAGAAAGCCAGAAAAATTTTTAGAGTTAGAGGAAATTGTCTACTTTTTCCATGTTATTAGTCTATGTTCTTTGGCACATTATTTAATTAAATAAAAATTTAGTGCATTACTACCGTAAGTATGAAAAAAAAGAAAGAAAAAAGACAGAAAGAAAAAGAAGATTGGGTAAGTACTTTATTTCTTATTTTTATGTTTATTCTTTATTTATTATAATAAAAGTAACTAAAATGTAAAAATAGGAGTCTTTTTAGGTTTGTTAAGATCAGATTATGTAAAATAAATATTAGTAATATAACAAATGTTTCATGAGGCATGCACGTGAATAGCTCTAGTAGCTCATAGGTTATGTAATTCGATAGCATGATGTGAGCTGCACATTCCTTGAGTGATTTACACTTATAACGGTGCAGATAGTAATTACACGATTCAAAGGGCAATAAAACAATAAAATTTAATTATAAATAAATGTATATTGTTACGAGTTTAAAGCTACTTAGCATAAACAAATGTAGTTTAATGCTAAATTTGAAGTCATTGTAGAAAGGAAAAGAGGGTAATTTAGATTTATTTAGATTTGGGGGGGTTACGAGATCAGTCAAATGACCAACCTTGTATAGAGTTAGGGTAGGGAAAATAGATAAAATATAACGTTTTACTGAAAACAAACATTTGAAATGTATTTAGAAGATTTTAGAGATGAACAAACATATTTTTAATCTTAACATGAAAATCACTTTGCACACAGACTAATCAAAACAAAGTGTTGAAATACTTTATATTCGGATAAGTCTTTTTTTTTAGTTTATTAAAAATACTTCCCTAAAAAAGTAATTTTTTCTACGTGAAAGACTTGTAATGTTAACTGAAAGATTGTCAAATTTTGTGAATATATACACACTGTATTTAAAGCTAGAAGTATTAAATCTATAAAACTTTAAACAAGTACAAAGAAGTCACGTGGTCGGTCAAATTGACCGAGCCCATGTTGAGAGAGTTATATAGTTTGACACTGTATTTGGTAACTAGATAACATACAATTTCATGAATTCAAAACAAATTCAATTTGATGGCCTGCAAACTAGTACTGATGCATATTCTAAAGGAACACACTGCTAGCCGAAGAGATGTGAGAAACTTGTAACTGAAACAGCCAAAGAGACGTAATAAAATGTAACTGTCAACACTACAATGAACTTCACTAAGTCCTGGTGAGCTCTGCTATATACTTACTTAGGAAATGAGTGCTTTCACCCAGTGTTATGGTACATAGAATTGTGACAAAGAACATAAGGTTACACAATGTGTGGCCCTCACCTATAGTGCAGGTGAGTAAACAAGCCAATAAATCAAAGGTTAATAAATATACAAGTCCATTGCTGAAATGTAGTACAATATATACAACTTGTGGATGTTTCATATAAATGAAGACAATATAGTGAATTTCTTATAACAGCAATTTTTTTACATTGATTATTATTTAACTATTTTTGTTGTGCAGGACTTTATAAATGCCTCAAAATGAAGATCTTTAAACTTGTTCGAAGATTACCCCCTGTAAAGAAGAGGATTGTTAGTGAATTACACAAGGTCGAACAACAAGTTGGTAAGGAACTGAAACTGGTGTATGAAGGTACAGACTTTTTACTGGACCTCACAGAAAAGAGTTGGTCAGAAGTAAGTAGCTGTTGATATGGAATTGTTTTACAGCTGTTATTAGGTACAGTGTTAAAGTGAATACTCTATTTCTGTCTGATGGTTTCATACTTGAGTAAATATAGCAGCCGTTTCAGAATGGTGTCATTGTGGACCTATGATGATCTTTCACCCCACCAATCACTGCAAAATATGAACACTTGAAGAATATAAGTACACTGACTTTCTCTTCCACACTTTAATGTTCTATAGA